ATTATATCAAAGCTAATATAAGAAAAACGTGGGATATTTTCGAGCTATTCTCATGCAGTCCGAGAATTGGAATTCAATTGGTGGTCTATGCGATTACTATCGAGTTTCAATTATACCAATTGTGTTAACTTCAAAATGTTTGTATCTCTTTTTCTTATAAGGGGGATATTTTTTTATATCCATTTACTAATGCCCTATTTTTACTATTAGAGGTTAATAGGATCAAAACTGGTATACCTAATAATTACTATCCGTTCTGCTAATTAGGCTAGTAAGATCGTTATTTATTTTATCATTATTCTGAATTATTATTATTTTTCCTTCTTTTTGAACAGTTGTTTGATGTTCACATCCTCAAAACATTAACTTTTGCATAAAATCTTACCTTAGAGATTTTAAAAATGCTTATCCAAATATAGCTTTATATATTCTGTTTGCAAATATTTTTTTCATCTTATTCTAATTATTCGTTTTTTCCAGCTTCCTCCATCAGAGCTGCCTGCTCAACCAACTGACATTTCCTCAAACATCAGTCCCTTCGTCTCCATCTCCGAGCCGAGTGCTGTGCACTCTGACGTTACCGGCCCCAGAGCCTCTGCAACTCCAGCCTCATCGACTATGGTCGACTCTATTTCTGTGACTTCTTACTCTGGCCTGAAAACTGCTTCTAGAGTAAAGCCAACTTCCAGCATCACCAGCCTTATCTCAGCCTCAGCAAGCCAAGTTTCTCGAGGAAAAGTAAACTGTTCTTCGAGCGATTCCGGCCCTTCTAATCAGCCAGAAACATATCCTACACCCTCTAACTATTTTACTGTTGGACCTATGGCTCCTTTAAAACGGCCCCGACTTTCTACCGTTGGCTTTTCTTCTGTCGATGTATCTGCCGAACATGAGCCTATTACCACTCAGCCTCATACTGATGATCGTTTTGAATACGACCCTCAATCATCTAGCATCTCTTCTCACATTAGCTCCCATTCTTGCCTCTCTTATCAGCCGCATAATAGTGCTGAAGGATGTGACGACAATTCTCTTAAAATTTTAACTAAGCATCAACCTTACATACACCTTAACCATCATCGTAAGGAGCAAAAAGGACAGCAAATTGATATCCATTCTCCTAGTAGCCAATCACTTCCTGCTTCCTTATCTACGCATGTGCTACCCCCTGAATCCTCCCACTTTCCTGTAACTTCATCGTCTGTTTCTCAGTTATCATCTTGTTCAATCTCTTCTAATCCTATTGTTTCCCACGATGCGTTTTCATTACCTATATCGTTATCACAATCGTCATCTTTTTCACGATCTCGAAATAATCTGATCAGCATTAGTCAGCATCGACGATTGCAGCATACAGAGGCGAAATATACTATACATCAAGACTTCTATGTCGATCCCCTCGTTCGTGGAGCGGGTAAATTAGACAGTACAATTCCTGACAGCCTTCCAGGAAGTGAGTCTGAACATGAATCTGTTGAACTAGAGGAAGACGAAGAGGAAGTAGAGGACATAGACGAGGTGGGGATCCAAGATATTGGTGATGAGAAAGATAAAGTTTTAGGCAGCTACGGCAATGGAGATGAAGAGGAAGACTATGAATACGATGATGATGAGGAGAGGGGTGTTGAAATTGATTCTCATGACTACGATGACGATGAGGACATAGAGACTCACAATAACGCCGAGGTTTCAGCTTTAGATGAATATTTAGGCTCAGCAGACAAAGGCATATTTTCAATTTTTGATGGAATTGACAGTGATTACGGAGATGACGATGAGGATGATGAGGAAGACGATGATGTGGAAGAGGAAAAGCTTGAAACTGAGCTGGAAGGACAAGAAGATTTAGAAAATGAATATGATGATGGTATCGACAATGATGATGTTTATGTTGAGGATTATGACTATGGTTCAGAGGAATCAGATGCACATATTGATTTCACTAGACAGAATCAAACTGAAGTGTTTGCAAAGCAGATTGGTCACAATTCTATAAAGGCTAGAAAGTGGGTCTCCTCGGAGGGCAATGAATTCGAGACTAATGAAAAGACTTCTGCTCGAACAGGGACTTGTGATACTAACTTGCCTGGTCTTGAACAACAAGATATCTTTAGTCCAGTGTTTGACCGATCTTTCCAGGAAAATAATAGTCATTCTGACTTAAA